TAATGTCTGTAGTATTTAGATTCAGTAAATGATTATATATAAACAATTAATTAATTAGTAAGTTTACATTATTGCTTAGATGATTTAAACCCTTAGATGACTGGATATATTGGAAATATGATTTAAAAAAGTCTTCTTTTTATTATTAAAGTATTCCTTTTGAGGGGATGTTTTAATATTGATCTTTTATTATAATAAAATAATTACTAATAAATTAATGATATATAATGCATTATTTGTATAATTACAGGAACTTTATGTAAGGGAGATGAAAACTTTAAAACTTAAATAGAAAGCAATCTTAAAAATACTCTAGCTGCACAAACTGAACTGAAATAATTAAGTTATTTTAATGAAGCAAATCTAAAATAATATAATTTAAATTTATAAAAATTGAAAAACTCAAATTAAAAAATAAAAAAATGCATTGATTTGAATTTAATTTAAAATCAATAAAATATCCTTCCTTTATTAGATGAGTTTTTCTCGAATTGGAAAATACAATATTAAGTTTAAGATGTAAAATTTTTACTTTTTTAAAAAAATAATATTTTTTATATTTTTTTTAATAAGTTATGGATGGATTTTTTATAAGAAATTTAATTTAATAAAATTATTAAATAGGCTTAGAGAATTAATTATGAAGAAGTTCGTTATATTTAATATTTAAAATGAATTGAAAAATAATTTTACTCTAAATATAAATTAAATTATAAATCTAGTTTAAAAAGAAAAAAAAAAAAACTAAATAGATAGATAGATATATTTTAAAATATTTTTTTTAATATTAAAATAATTTTAGTTTCCTTATTTATAAATATATAATTTTCAAAATTAAATAAATATTATGTATATAAAAAAAAAACAATTTATTTAAACTAAAATATTATATGAAATATAACTTTTGTTAATTAAATATAATTTATATATTTATTATTCATAAATTTATAATTATTTTAATTTTTTATTTTTTTTGAAAAAAAAAATATATACATATATAGGTATATTTTAATGCAAAAAGTTACTTTTTAAAGTAAAATGACACCAATAAGGTGGGTAATAAAATATAATCCAGCCTAAATAGGTTTAGTATATAGAAATAATGAGAAAGATAAAAAGAAAAGACTTTATTTAATAAAACTAAACGAATTAATATATTTATCTGATTGCAAAAAAATAGCTTAATAGTTAATAAATGAACATCCTCAGTATTTAAGATATGCTAAAATTGATTAAGTAATTTATTATATTTTTTTGATTTTACTAATCATTTGTTTTAAATTAGCTTACTAAGTTTATTTAATTAATATAAGATAAACAAAATGATCTTAAAGAACCATTTTAACAAAAAATTAACAATAAATATGACCAAGTATTTGAAGATATTTCAGATTACGATTAAAATAATGATTTTTGAAAATATTATATAACTTTTATTTTGATTGTTTTCGATTTAATAAATTTTTAATATATATAATAAAAAATTATATTAATAATTGATAAATTTAATATAAATACAATAAAAAAATATATTTGGATCATTCGAATAATAATATTATAAAAAAAATTTTGAAAATTCGCAATTAAAAAAAAGTTTATTTTTAGCAAGCACTATAATGCCCTTATATAAAAATATTTTTTTATTTTAAATACATTTATTTATCAAATCTGTGGTTTGATTATTCTCCCAAATCCAGACTCAATATTGAAATATTAATTGGCATTTTTCATTGAGCTATTATAAACTAAAATTTTAATAAGACTTATTTTTTTTGTCAACAAAATTTTTTTAATTGTTTACTTTTATTTTCTAAATTATTAAATTATTACTCTTATTATTATTGTTTTCTTAAAACTTTTATATTAATAATTTTTTTTCTATTTAATATTATTTACTTTTTATTTAAAAGTCATTTTATTATTGTCTATCATTAAATATTTGACTCTTTGTTTATTAAGGGCTACCCTAATTAACATATTATACTTTACAATCATTATTAATATTCAAAATATCTTATTATTTATTAATTCCTTTAATAACCTTTTTAACCATATTTTCCTAATTTTAAATATTTAAATTATAAGGTTCATTTTTATCATTTTTATCTTTTTAAAAATTAAATATGTTTTTTTTTTCTTTAATTTTTTTATAAAAATAATATATATTTACATTAAGAATTGAAATCACAAATTTATTATTTTTCGTCAAAAAATTAATAAAGATTTTTTTTTTTTTCATAAATTTATTATTATTAAATTTAGAGATTTTTATTTTCTTTAATAGCTTAATTATATTAATTCTATAATTATTAATTTTCTTTGTTTAAAGATAAAATTATAGTTGAAAGCTTATACAATTCTTAAATTAAAGATTCCATTTTTTAATATAAAATCTCAATAATTTATTATTAATCAGATGCATATTTATTTAATGATTGCTAATTAAAAGATAGGTAAATTATATTTTTTAATTACTCTAAATTATTTTAAATTAATTCTTTTTAGTTAATTTAAAAATCCTAATTGAATGAAAATATATTTTCTAACCTTAGTTGAGAATCTTTTTTTTCTTACGAATTAGCATTTGTAGTATTTAAATCATATTTAATACATTCTTAAGTATATAAACTTTAATTTATACAAATATAAGATTAATTAAATTATTAATTTTCATTAAATTAATTAATCATAATTAAATATTATTAAATAAAATAAAAATTAAAAATATGAATAAAATTAAAAATAAAAAAAATAATAATAATTTTAAATATAATAAATAATTAAATAAATATGATTTATATATTAATATATAAATATAAATATATATATATATATATATTAAAAAATATATATTTAATATCTTATATAATTTATTATATATAAAATACAATATTAAATTAAATAAAAATTAATAAATATATATTTAATAATTTATTATATTAAATATTTTATTATATATTAAAATTTATCAATTTTATTCATATATTTTTATTTTATATATTATTTTTTTTTATACAAATGTTATATTTAACAATTTTTACAATTTATCATTATATTCTTTTATTTTTCTTACACTTGAACAATATTTTAAAAATGAAATAAATTTTAAATAAAATAAAATCTATCATAAAAACTGACTAATAGCAAATTGACCATTTATAATCTTTTTCCTTATATATATATATATATATATATATAAATATTATAAATTTTATTTATAATATATCTTTTTATTTAGTATAAATTTAATTTAATCAAATATAAAATTTAAAAATAAATATTTAATTTTTATATGTTTTATAAAAAAATATATTTATTATTTACAAGCAAGTATTAATTTTTTATAATTATTTTATATTTCATAATGTTGAAATATATATGAATAATTTAATTTAATTACTATAATTATTTTAATTTTATTTTATTTCATACTATATTTTTGAATTGATTTATCAATGAATTTATTTTTATTAATTTTTTATTTATTTTTATTAATTTTTTTATGAAATAATTTTATACATATTATTTATTTATTTTAATTTGTTTATTTATTAATAATCTTTTTCATATCTTAAAAATTAAAAATTATAAAATATATTAAAATTATAATGTTTTTATTATTATTTCTCATATAATTCCTTAAATTATTATTTTATATTTAATTAAAAATTTTACAATTAATTATTTTTATAATTTTTAGTTAATATTTCAAAAAAAGTATTTAGATTGTTATTGATAAATATATATAATTATAATATTTTTATTTAATAAAGTAAAAACAATTATTAATTAATAAAAAATTAAATTAGTTATTTTTAATATTTTATTTTAATAAAAAATATTATTGGAATCTTGAAAAAAAAATTCGAGTATTGCTTTTATTAATATTTGAAATTTTTATTAATTTTAGCTTTATAATACTATTAAAAACATATGAGAAATTTAAATGTTAAATCATTAAAAAAATATTGTATATCCTTTATAATACTAAAAAAAATATAACTGTAATTTTTTTTAGATAAATATATATAATCTTAAAAGGAAACTTTAAAAAAAATATATATTTATAAGAAAATATATTAATTATAGGAATAAAAATATTGTTTATATTTTTACAGAATTTAATTTTCATTTACAAAAAAATTAATTATACATAAAATTTATATCTGAATGATTTTTTATATATGTAAATTTCAGATTTATTTATATTGTATATTTTAATTTAAAAACATCTTAATTTTAATTTAGGATTATTATTTAAAAAAAATGTATGTAATTTTTTTAAAAAAGATTTATTAAAAAAAGTAATAGTTTTTAAAAATAAAAACATTATAATAAAATAAATAAAATAAAAGAAATAAATTTATTAAATCATAAATGATTTGCAATATTGCAATGCATTTTTTTATATATTTAAAAAATAAAAAAAAAATTAAATATATATATTTTTTTTTATATTATAGAAATATAAAATATTTAATTTTTTTTTATTTATTTTAAAATTTTTTTTGTTAGTTTCAAATATTCAAATAATTTTTAATTTTAAAATTTAGAGTTTTTTTATTTTATTTATATTTATAATAATATATGTTTATATTTTTCTTCAATTTTTTTCACTATTATTTTTACAAAAAAAATTAATTTTTTATTATAATAATAGCATAATTAACAAAAATAAATGTATTCCAATTTATTTTAGCCTCTTTTATTTGTTAATTTAGTTTTTTTAATAACAAATTACTGTAGAAAGAAATATAATCATATTATATATAATTTCATATTTTCATATAAAAAAAATATAGAAGATTTTAATTTAAAAAATAAATAAAATTTAAATTAATAATTTACAACAATAATTTTATAATTTTAAAATTAAAAATAATAATAAAACATCTTATAATCAAAATAAGAACTTAGAAATATCTAAAATCTAGTTTTTGATTAAGAGTTCAATTAAGAAAATTTAAAGGTTTCAGGAATATAATAACAAATAATAATAAATGAATTCTATGTAAATAATATAATCAGAAGATGAAGATGAAGATGAAGATGAAGATGAAGATGAAGATGAATATGAAGATGAAGATGAAGATGAAGATGAAGATGAAGATGAAGATGAAGATGAAGATGAAGATGAAGATGAAGATGAAGATGAAGATGAAGATGAAGATGAAGATAAAAATTAAAATTATTAAGTAAAATATAAACAAAGAACAAAATATTAATAAATTTTAGGAATTAACACGGATATATGAAGGACTTTATAAGAAACAGATAGAGAAAAAGAATTTTATCAAATTAAATAGAATTTGAAAAAGAAATAATAAGAAAAACATTTTCCTATAACAAACGAATAGATATAAAATATTACATCTGAAATAAATTATAAACTTTCATAATTGTGAGTCAATATTTAAGATATTTTAAATTATATATACACATAGTATTTTTTAAATTATTATATATAATTTTATTTATTCTTAAATTTTTTTGTTAAAACCCTATTAAAAAAAGACGAATAAAAAACAAATAATAAATAATATATTATTTTTTATTTATTAAATTTTTTTTTTTAAAAAAAAATAAATAAATAAAGAAAAAATTTAAATAATCATGTAATATATTAAAAAAATATATAAATAGATTATATGTATTGAATAAATTAATAAACAGGAATTTATTATTATATTAAACCTTATAAATGTATTAATAAAAAAATATGTATTTAAAAAAATATTAGTTTTCTTAATTTATAATAATATTATATAAAAAAAAATTTTTAAAAATAATATTTATTTATTTTTAATTATTAATTTATATTAAGAGTACCATCTAACCTTAATTAAGAATAATCAGTACTTTTAGCAATATATTTAGTAGAAGAATTTATTATATATATTCCAAACATGAATGTAAGCAATTTACTTACAAAAAGCAGGATTTAATTTTTAATTGGAAAACTTAAAATATTTACTAATTAATAAGTTTTTGAAATAATTATTTCTTAACAATTAATTTTAAAAATAAAACAGAAACATAATTTATATTTTCAACAAAAATGGAGATGTCTTTATGTATTAATTGTAATTAATTGGCGAAGTTAGAAAATATTCAAAATGCACAAAATAATAAATAACAAAATGTATATAAATTGTAAATATTTAATAATCTTAAATTTAAAGTAATTATTTCTTTTAATAATTATATAACTAATTTTTAAATATATAAAAATTTAATTTATTGATGTAACTCGATTATTTAATTAAAAATAATTAAATAAAAAATTAAAAAAATTATTTCCACTTTGAATATATTATATATTTCATATTAAAAATAAAAATGTATTTATAAAAATATAATTTATTATTTTACATTTATAAAAATAAATTTATTTTAATATATATTGATAAGTATATTTTATTTTTTAGTTAAAAATTACACTATTTAAGATATCATTTTTTTTATAATATTTCTTTAGTCTTTCTTCTTCATTTTTATTTTCAAGCAATATTTAAATTTTAATCTTATATAATTTCATGGGAATTCTACCCTTTTTTTTAATTGCGGATATGGACATTATAGACTTTAGAAAATTAAATTTATGAAAATTATTTATTTGGTTTTGCTAGAATTAATATTTTATATATATTATAATTTATAATGTATTTATTTTTCATTATGTATAATGTTTTTTTTCTAAAATACTATAAAAATATTTAAATTTTCTTAAAAAATATTACTTATATTTATTATAATTTTTTATTTTAATGCATCTTTTAACAATTTTTTTTTTTATAAAATTAATAAAAATTTTATATTTAAAATAAATAATATAAAATTGTACTAATTATTATACTTTTGTAACTAACTAAATTAACTTTCGCTTTCATTAATTAAAATTTATATAGCATAAAAATTAACAATTTATTTAATTAAAAAATTAAAAAATATACTTTTAATTTATATAAAAGCTTAATTAATATTTTTTTAGTAAACAATATTATAGTTTATTTTTATTTAGAAATGCGTAGATAGAATTTTCTATTATTTTCTTAAAAAATTCTTATTTATTTAATTATTTTAATAGTTTTGTAATTATAACGATTGTTCTTATCTTTAAATACCAATGTCATTTTATTATTATTATATTACATCTATTTATTAATAAATATATAATTTTCTTTTATAAATTTAAATTATTTTTATTTATTATATTCCATTTTTTTTATGAAAAATAAAAAACTATTAAATAAATTATTTAAATTTTTATATACTTTATTTTAATTAAAAATTTAATTTATATATTTATGAATTTGCTTAATTGTTTGTTTACATTTAAAAAATAAATAAATATTATTTATATTTTATTTTTAAAATTAATTTTATTAAATTATATATAAAAATTTAATTATAAAAATAAAGTAAATAAAATAACAAATTTTTATTTAAAATGTTAAAATGAAAAACAATATTATTATAATTTTTTTTTAAAAAAATAAATAATTTAATTATAGAAAAATTGAAATATAAATGAAAATATATAACAAAGAAAATATAAAAAAAAAAAAAAAATTAAAAATACAAAAAAAAAATTATATTTTTTAAATAAATAAAATAAAAAATATTTTAAAGATAAATATTAAAATAAAATTAAAATTAATTAAAAAATTTTTAATCAATATTATTTTTGAAATAAAAAATTAAAGACATTAGAAAGAAATAATATTAAATTATAATCAATAATATAAATTATTTTATTTAATAAAATAAAAAAATAAAAATAAAAAAAAAAAAAAAAAAAAAAATATGTAATAAAAAAAAATTTTTTTAAATATAAATAATAAAATAAGTACTTAAAATAATAAATAAAAAAATCAAAAATAATAGTTATAAAAAAAAAAAAAATAAAACGCAAAAATAATATTAATATAATAATAATAATAATAATAATAATAATAATAATAATAATAATAAATTAATAATAATAAATAATATTTATAATATTAAAAATAATATTAATTATAATAATATTAATAGTAATAGTATTAAAATTATAAGTTTAATAATAATACAAAAAAATATTATTTAAGATATAATAAAAATGTAAATATTAAAAATAAAATTAATTTCATATATATTTTAATTTTATAATTAAATAAAAATAATATAAAATATTATTATAACTTTTTTTTTATTAAATTATAATATTATACTAATTATCATTTTAATTTATTTGTTTTAATTTCATTTATAATATTTTATTAAACAAAAGTATAATTTAAGAACAACTATAATTTATCATTAAATCCTTTTATTTTTCTTACACTCGAACAATAATTTAAAAATGAAATAATATTTTAAATAAATATAAAATCAATTATAAATATTGACAAATAATAAACAGACCATTTATAATCTTTATCATTAGTGATTATACTGCATTATTTAAAAATAAAAAATATAAAGAATAAAGAATAAATGACTAAAAAAAATATTTTAGAAACTATATATCTATAACAATTTAAAAAATTAAATTTTTCAATAATTTTTTTCAGAATTCCTTTAATTAATACACACATTAAAATTAAAATACATATTATAAAATATCCAAATATAAATTAATAAAAACTAATCAGCATAATTAAACATTATTTAAAATACATTAATAGAACCCTAAGTACAGAGTTTGGTGAATTGTCTTATAACATATACACTTCCAAAAATTCATTCGCAATAAGTGTAAAATATATTTTCTAGTCATAATTATATTAATCAGGATTTATATTAATTTAGGAGGTAATTGTATTTATACTATTTCTATAATTATTAGGATCATTAAATTTTATAACAGTTGAACCATTTTAATTATTCATAGTTTTTTATTAAGTTTATTTAGTTTTAAAATTTCTAAATACAATCATATCTATTTCAGGACTAATAGGACTAATTTTTGTTTAATTTGTAAAATAACTTTTTTTTCTTGAATTTATATCGATTTTATTATTATTCTTTTTAAAGTTTAATATTATCTTATTTTAGTTTATTTACTTATTTTTTTGAATTTGTTTTTGGAAGTTTTAAATTTTATTTTCATTACTAATTATATCTTCTACCACAACCTGATTTTCTACATTTATTATTTAAGTTTTTGCTACTTTCGGTTTACATTCTTTTTCTCCTGAATTTATCGACCTATTATCTAAAAAATGACAAATTATACATGATATGAATGTATATATAGTAGTCGCGAGATATATTTTAAATATCAACTTACTAGTAGCATTTGTTTCTTATAGTTATTACTCACATTTACTATCATCATTCAAAATAAGTCCATTTTCACACTCCAAGCATTTATTTGCTTCTGTACATTTTTTGCAAGTAATATGACAAGGATCGCATCTATTATTCGCAAAATTTTTAAATTTTCTTTAAGAACATTCTGTTTTACACTCATTTTGTTCCAAATAAGTATTCCCATAGCAAATAACTTCTTCAATGCACAGTCCATTATATAAATAAAATCCATAAAAACATTCTATACATTAATTAAATTATTTACAGTTTAAACAATTAGAAGGACATGATTAACAAATTCCATTAGAATCTGGAAAAGTATATTAATCACATTCTTATTTACATTATTTATTTTAGGTTAAAAAATAATTCTATACACAAGATTAACATTTATCCTTTTCTATACATGCCTTACAATTTAAGTCACAAAAGTCACATTTCGAAGTGCTTATTACCAAATATCTACCTTCAACACAAGAATTACATGTACTAGAATTTGAACAAGAGTTACACGAAGAATCGCATTATTAGCAAATTTGATTTACATCCAGATATTATTTACTATTACATTTGTTGGCATTGGCATCATTATCAGCATCGGCATCGATATCTACATCCAAATCGACATCGACATCGGCACATTACTTAGTTTATAAAAGAACCATAGGATTATTACATGATATGCATTAATTGTCAACTATTCCATTTTCACAGGTTTTGCAATTATCATTACATTTTTCACATAAAGCACTTATTGTGTTAATATAATAACCAATATTACATTAATCACACGAAAATGCATTTTAACAAGTAAAACAAGTCGCATTACATAGTTAACATTTCCTTTAAGCATCTCCATATGTATTATGTTAATCGAATTAACAATTATCAACGCATTTATTATCTTAAGTGAGATAATATAATAAATTACATTCTGTACATTATTAAGAAGGATTATCACAAGTTTTGCAATTAACAGTAGTACACGGCTTGCAATATTTAGTAACAGAATCTAAATACATACTATCAGTACATGTAGAACATGAAGTTCCATTAATACATGTTAAACATGAGATATTACACGGTTAGCATGTTTTCGTATCATCCGGATATTCATTCGGCAAACATGAATCTGCGCAAGTATGGTTAGTTTATAAATAATAAGGGTCATTACAAGTAAGGCAGTTAAATTTTGAAAATAAACAAGTTTTGCAAGTCCGATCACATAACAAATCGCATAATTTATTTTATTCATTCTTTAAATGATCAGAAAGACAAGTAGTACAAGAAGCCCCATTTTTACATGTAGCACAGGTTCTGTTACATTTTTAACAGATTTTAGAAGTATTCAGATAATAGCCTGGATAGCATTCCGTGACACATTTTTTTTCCAGTTATTGCAAATATAAAGGAGATGAGCAGGACAGACATTTAGTTTTATCAGTACAAGTAGCACATGAATTATCGCATTCTTCACATAACTAAGTATTTGTATTTAAAAATTTGCCATCTGCACAAGATTTACAGGAAATCGCATCTTCACATGTATGACATGTACTATTGCAAGCAATACATTTAGGGTTATTAAATATACTAGTATCTACTAATTAATCAATATCACAATTATATACACATGTATTGTTTTTTATTTACAAAATATAAGGTGGATCACAAGATATGCATTATTCTGTAGAATATCTTAGATAATTTTTACAATTAACATTGCATTCTCCACTCAAATTATATATATGATAACCTTTATCACATTTAGTGCAAGAAGTTAGATTAGTACAAGATATGCATCCTTTCATAGCTCTCATACATTCAGTACATATTCTATCGCTATTATTTAGCTTAAATGTTCCTTCTGGACAAGCTACACATTTATCACCTTCAAAAATCTCATTAATTTTACATTAAATACATTTTAGATTACTATTTATATACTCATTATCATTACAAATTATGTTTTCAATAGTTTTTATATAAAGATATTAATCATTATGATTTTCATCATCCACTATTAATGTTTGTCCTTTTTTAAATGATTATCTGAATTTATGGTCATTTATAGGAAGTGTGTAATATTTATTTTTTTAATCTGCTCTTTAGATCACTCGAATTCTATTTAAAACTGAATCATAAGATATATCATACACAATATTTCCAAAAAAAATAATCGATTCATAAGTTAAAATATCATAGTATTTTCCAAATTTAATTGGCGAACTATCATTTGTCAAATACACTTGTGTAAAAGTAAGCAAATCGTAAAATTCCCAAGCCCCATTATTTCCCAAGCAAATTATCTTTTTTCCAATTCCAAAATCCAAAATATCAGAAAGATAAAATTCAGATGAGTTGAGTGATATTTTCGAATTCAAAGTAACAGTATCTCCAGAATAGGTAAATTAAGACAAGCTTATAATCTACTTGGATTTCATAATAAGGCCAATATTATCATCAATTTCTAAAATGCACTTATATTCAGGAAATTCTGACATAATGTATTTTTTCCCTTTATAAATCATAATTCCGAGACGTCCATCAGTGCTATGAAAAATAACTATTTTATTTGTAGAACAAGATCTTGATATTTCATAAACATCATTTTATGAAATTGGGACTTATTCACAATCATCATCAAAAAAATCATTTTTATAAAATGCATAATATTAATTATTGAATATTATATTTTAACTTTTCACAACATTAATTAAAGCCGAATCTATAGTATATTTATTTGATAGAGATAATTATTATGGATTGGGTATTTTGTATTTACTATTGTTACCCATTTAATTAATGTCTATAATGTCTATTACTTAGTAAATATGATATATAGGGTTTATTAAAAATAATTTTTGACGGCCTTACTTTGTTTCAATTAAATAGGTACTTTTAAATATTGTATCTTTAATTCCGTCTAGTATTATTTATTTTGTTATATAACCTTAATTATCTAAATAACATAAATAATAATATTCTTCATAATTTTAAAATATCGGACTTATTATTATGGCAGATAGTTCTTCAATTTCTATCCAATATTTATATATTTATAGTGGATATTTAAATAGATTAAAATTTTTAATTATAAATAATTATAAAAAAAATAATAATACTAATTTTTTAGTCATTTTTTTACAATTTTATATTATTTTTAGTTTTTTTTTTTTAATTATATTATTTATTATAAAAAAATGATTTAATATAATTTTAATTTATTATATGAATTATTAATTTTACCGGATTAATTAAAAATATATTTTTATGGAACAAAATTAATTTTCATACTACATAAATATTTATATGAAAAAATAAAATATTAATATAAAAATAAAATTAAAATATGATAATTTTAATAAAATTAAATATTATTTTAAGAATTTGATTATGCATACTTATTTTATCATAATAGCATATTTCATTAAATTAAAAATATATGAAAATTTAATTTTTTGTAAGATATATATTTATATATATATTTTATAAAAATATAAATTTAATACAAGACAAAAATTAATATTATAATAATTATAAAAATTAATTAAATATTATATATATATTGTATTTAGAAATTAAATATATTATTATAATATATTTTAATTAAATTATTTATTTCATAGTATTTAATGAAATAGAATAATTTATTATATTTGCTATCAGATATTAATATTATATTTTGTTTTTTACTTGAATTTTAAATAGATTTAACCATTAATTATTGTCAAAAAAAAAATTATTTATTTCTTACATAAACATTTATTATGAATTAATTTTATAAATATTAATTAGTAATGTATTACTTTATTAATCATTTTAAAATATTATTTTTATATATAAATTATAAAAGATAAACATATTTATTAATATTATAATTATTTTTAATAATAATATTAAGAATTCCTTTAATATAATGCATTTCATATTTTTAAAAGTTATACAATAAAATTAATTATAAAAAATATTATTGCAATCTTGAAAATAAAAATAAATAAATTTAGAGTATAAATTCTGTAAACCGTAATTACAAGCGAAATTTAAATTATTTTTGCTTTTATATCAATATAAAAAACATATAAGAAACTTATATCTTTAATATTAAAAATAAATATCATTGATTTTTTTTTATTTTATGTGGTATATGAATTTAAATATATAAAAAATAAAAATTTTTAAGTATAAATATATGATCAGAACTTTAAAAAAATATATATAACCAGAAAAAATATTAAATAAATATATATAAAATGCTATTCACCTGAAATTGACTTCTATGGATATAAAAAATATTTTTTTATATCTTTATAGAATTAAAATTTAATTTATAGTAAAAATATTTATGAATAAAATATATTAAATTTAAACCTTAATGATTTTTTAGATTATATTAATATATTTTAAGATATTTAGATTAAGTAAAATATATTATATTTAGAAAAATAGAAACTTAATTTTAATTAAAAATAATTATTTAAAATAAAATATTTTATTTTTTATAAAAAATAAAAATAAAATTAAAATAAGTATAAAAAAAATATATTTATATATTAAGAAAATAAATTAATATAAAAAATTATAAAATAAAAAAATATATTTATTATAATAATATTATTTAATATAAATATGAATAAATATGTTTCCTTTATATTAAAATAAATATGAAAAATATAATAATAAGATTGTGTATAAATGATTTTTTTTAATAATAATGTTAAAACAAATAAATTATAGTTTATATTAATTATATTAGATACTATATTAATTGTTTTATATAATTTTAAATTTTATTTATAAGATGTAGAAAATTAAATTAATATTTAATATAATGTAAAATATTTAAAATATAATTTATAAAGATATATATATATATATATTTATATTTATATATATATATATATATATTCATATACATATTCATAATTTTCTCTTTTTTATACATTTTTTTCATATTCTTTAGTTTTTTAAATTAAAATCCATTTTATAAATTAATAAAATTTTAACTATTTTAAATATATTCAACATTATTTATATATATAAATTGTAATTTATTTAAAGATTTATATAGTATTTAATAACAAATATATAATCAATTATTTTTTATCAATATATGAATTATAAATTTAAGTTGAATATAAAAATTACAATTTTTTGTAAAATTTAAATAAAGAACAAAATATTATTAAATTAAAACAATAAACACTCATATATGAAGATCTTTATAAGAAATAAATATAGAAAAGAATTTTATTAATTTAAATAGAATTTAAAAAGCACATAATAAGAAAAACATTTTCATATAACTAACGAATAAATATAAAATATTATATCAGAATTAAATAATTAAATTTCATAATAGAGATTTAAAAATGAAGATATTTAAACAATATATAAACATAGTATTTTTATTTCATTATATTTAATTTAATTTTATTTTTATTCAATTTTTTTTTTTATTTAAAACATGCAAGAAAAAATTAATAATATACTATTATTATTTTATAGTTTTTTTACTAAATAAAAAATAAAAAACAAAACAAAATAATCAATTTATGCATTATTAGTTGTAAAAAATATAATAAGAGTTTATATTATCTTAATAAAATACAAAACTAGAATTTATTACTATATAAAAAATAGAACATTAGAAATATGTATAAAAAGCTAAAAAAATATTATATTATATAATATAAATATATATCTATTTAATTTAATTTTTAATATGTATAATAAGTTAATTAATATAAAAATAAAAATAAAATAATATTATATATAACTATAAACTATTTCTTTTTATAGATTAAATAAATTATTAAAAAAATAATAAAAATTATCAATTCTTTTTGTTTATTTTTATTTGATTTATGATATTTTATTAAACAAAAGTATAATTTAAGAACAACTACAATTTATTATTAAATATTAAATCCTTTTATTTTTCTTATACCCGAACAATATTTTAAAAGCGAAATTATGTTTCCCATTATAAAATATCCAAAAATAAATTAATAAATATAAATTAGCATAATTAAAAATTATTTAAAATACATTATTAGAGCCCTAAGTATAGAGTTTGGTGAATTGTCTTATAATATAAATTTCCAAATATTCATTCATTCACTATAAGTGTAAAATACATTTTCTATTCATAATTATATTAATCAAGATTTATGTTATTTTAGGTAATTTTATTTATACTTTTTATTTGATTATTAGTATTACTTACTTTTAACAGTTGAACCATTTTGATCATTCATAATTTTTTATTAAGTTTATTTGTTGCTATAAGTTTCGAATCCAATCATATCTATTTCACGACTAATTTAAATTTAATATGTTAATTAATTTTTTTTATTTGATTTTATATAAATTTTATTATAATTATTTTCTGTGTTTAAGTCTATTTTTTTTTAGTTTATTTTATTAGTTTTTTGAATTTCTTATTGGGAACTTTACCTTTTATTTTCATTAATTACTATATCTTCTACCACAACCTGATTTTCTACGTTGATTGTTTAAGTTTTTGCTACTTTCGGATTGCATTTTGTATCTCCCAAATTTTTCGACCTATTATCTAAAAAATGACATACTAGTAGGATTTGTTTCTTATTCTTATTACATACATTTACCATCATCATTCAAAACAAGTTCATTTTCACACTCCAAGCATTTATTTGCTTCCGTTCATTTTTTGCATGTAATATGACAAGAATCGCATCTATTATTCGCAAAAATTTTTAATTTTCTTTAAGAACATACTGTTTTACACTCATTTTTTTCCAAATAAGTATTCCCAGAGCAAATAATTTCTTTAATGTAGAGACCATTATATAAATAAAATCCCTACTGTGCACAAGATAATCATTTGTTGTTTTCTAAGCAAATTTGATTTACATCCAGATATTATTTACTATTAAATTTATTAGCATTGGCATTGACATCATTATCGGCATCAGCATCGACATCAGAAATCTACATCAACATCTACATCGACATCTACATCTACATCGACATCGACATCGACATCTACATCTACATCGGCATTGGCATCGGTACATTGCTTAGTTTTTAAAAGAACCATAGAGTTTTTACATGAAGTGCATTAATTGTCAACTATTCCATTTTCACAGGTTTTGCAATTATCATTACATTTTTCACATAAAGCACTTATTGTGTTAATATAATAACCAATATTACATTAATCACACGAAAATGCATTTTAACAAGTAAAACAAGTCGCATTACATAGTTAACATTTCCTTTAAGCATCTCCATATGTATTATCTTAATCGAATTAACAATTATCAACGCATTTATTATCTTAAGTGTGAGATAATATAATAAATTACATTCTGTACATTATTAAGAAGGATTATCACAAGTTTTGCAATTAACAGTAGTGCACGGCTTGCAATATTTAGTAACAGAATCTAAATACATACCATTAGTACATGTAGAACATGAAGTTCCATTAATACATGTTAAACATGAGATATTACACGGTTAGCATATTTTCGTATCATCCGGATATTCATTTGGCATACATGAGTTTGTGCAAGTATGGTTAGTTTATAAATAATAAGGATCATTACAAGTAAGGCAGTTAAATTTTGAAAATAAACAAGTTTTGCATTTAGGATAACATAATTAATCGCATAATTTATTCTCTTCAATTTTAAAAAAACCAGAAGGACAAGTACTACAAGAAGCCCTATTTTTACATGTAGCACACTTAACATTTTTTAGAAATATTCAGATAATAGTCTGGATAGCATTCCGTGACACATTTTTTTTCCAGTTATTGCAAATATAAAGGAGATGAGCAGGACAGACATTTAGTTTTATCAGTGCCATCTTCACAAGTAGCGCATGAATTATCGCATTCTTCACATAAAACATATTTGCATTTAAAAATTTACCATCTGCACAAGATTTACAAGAAATCGCATCTTTACATGTAAGACATGCAATATTGCGATTCATACATTTATGTATATTAACTACGCTAGTATCTAAATATTAATTACTATTACAAACTTCTACATATGTCGAGTCTTTTGTTTACAAAAAATTAGTTGGATCACAAGAAGTACATATTTCTGGAGACAAATTATCATGGTCAAATGTACTTGTGTAAAAGTAAGCAAATCGTAAAATTCCCAAGCCCCATTATTTCCTAAGCAAATTATCTTTTTTCCAATTCCAAAGTCCAAAATATCAGAAAGATAAAATTCAGATGAGTTGAGTGATATTTTCGAATTCAAAGTAACAGTATCTCCATAGGTAAATTAAGACAAGCTTATTTATTTCTTTGGTTTCATAATAAGGCCAATATTATCATCAAAAATGCACTTATGTTTAGGAAATTTTGACATAGTGTATTTTTTCCCTTTATAAATCATAATTATGCTACCATCTCTACTATCGAAAACAGCAATTTTGTCTGTAAAACTAACTTCTGTACTTTATTTTATTAAATTTGGATTTATTCATAGATATCATCTAAAAAATTATTTTTATAAAATGTATAATATTTATTATTGAATATTATTTTTAACTTTAAATAACAATAATTGGAATTAAATCTTCAGTATATTTATTTGATAAATATAGTTATAATGAATAGGGTATATTGTACTTACTATTGTTATCCTAATAATCCATGTCTACAATATCTACTACTAAGTAAGTATGATATATAGGATTTATTATAAATAAATATGGATGAGTCTCTACTGTTTGAAAATAATAGGTACTTTAGAATTTTATATCGAAAAATCCGTCTAGAATTATTTACATTATTATATAACAACTTTAATCTAAATAGCAGAAATAGTAATATTTTTCAGGATTTTCCAATATTGGTCTTATTATTACGGCAGACAGTTCTTTAGTTTCGATTCAATACTTATATATTTAAAATGGATATTCAAATAGATATAAATTTTGAATTATAAAAAATTATAAAACTAATTTTTTATTCATCATATTTTTTTTAATTTGTTATTTATATTTATTATAACAATATTATATAATAAAATTATAATTTATTATATTTTTTATCAAAGATTTTTTTTAATTAACTATTTATTTACTTCATATTTTTGAATTATCATTAGTTTAATGATAAATTAATTAATAAAGTTTTATAGGTTAGTATTTTGTTTTAATTATTTTCATTGTAATTTAAAATAAGAAAATGGTGATATTATAATAAATTCTTTATAAAAAATAAGTCTAAAATAAAAAATTAATAAATAAATATTATTATAATTTTTTGAATTATGTAAAAATATATTATAATAACTTTCATTCTACATAAATTTGATATGAAAAAATTAAATAATAATTAATATTTTAATCTAATTTTATCATTATATTATATTTTATTAAATATAACATTTAATAAAAATTAATTATACGTATAAAAATACATGTATTATTTATTATGTCTAAATTTAATATAATGCAAATATAAATATAAAAATAAAAATAATTTATTAATTTTAGAAATTTTGTATATAGAAAATAAAAAATTTATAATATATATCTATTAATTGAAATCAATTATGTATTTATTTTAAAATATAGAAAATATATAATAATGAAATAAAATTATTATTAGATATTATAATTTTTTTTATTTTTTTACTTTAAATTTAAATAGATTTAACAGCGAATAAATGTTAAAACAAAAAAATTATCTATTTGACATATGAATTATTATTATGATATAATTTTAAAAATATTAATTTGTTTTTATGTATTAGTTTTTCAATTCTTTTAAAATATTATATTTTTCTAAAAAATGCAAAAGATAAAAATATTTATTATACACTGGAATTATTTATAATAATCATAATCAAAATACATTTAAAATACATTTTATAAATAAAATATATTCAAAAATTTTACAATATAATTAATATAATAATTTTATTTATTTTTAATATATTTCATAATAAAAACAATTTATTTAATATGTTTTTTTTATTATTAATATTAAATAAATTTTTTAATAATAATATGCGCGAGAATCTTATATGTCAAATCCTAAAAAAACATATTATATATTATTTTTATTAATATTTGTTTTATATAAAATTAAATTTGAATATAAAAAGGAAAAATATTTAAAATAAAAATATTATATAAAGAAATAAAAATATTACTTATAATATTAAAAATTAAATATTTATTTTTAGGAAAAATATTTATTCGAAAATTTGAATATAGGTATGAAATTTAAATTTTGATGATTTTATTTATTTGATTAGTATATATTATGTAGTTGGATGTTTTGATTAATTTAGATTTGGTTGGTATGTTTTAAAATATCAGCATATTATTTTAAATTTAGATTTTTTTTAAAAAAAAATTATATGTAACTTTTTAAATAATAAATAATTAAAAAAAGCAATAATTTAAAAAAAAAAATTATAATTATAATAATAAAATAATATATATTTATAAATATATTAAATATTGTGTACATATATAAAAATTATTTGCAATATTTTTGTCAAATAAATATAAAACATACACAAATTTACTTAAGTACATTTATTTATTATTATTAATATATAAAAATATAAAATGTTTATGTTTGTTTTATTAATTTTAAATTTTTTTATGGTATTAAAAATAATTATTAATATTAAAAATTTTATTTTACTTATTTATATAAATAAATTATCTATATATTTTCGTCCTTTTATTTGTTAATTGAGTTTTTTTAATAACATATTACAGAAAAAAAATACAAAAAACTCTAAACTATTATATTTTAATAAATAAATGTTTTTTTTTTGTTAAATGTTATGATATCATTATTTATCATTATTTTTTTATAAGTTCCCTTTAGTCTGATTTTTTTTTTTAAAAAAAAAATTTTAATATTATGTAATTAAATCCATTTATAAACAATTATAGACATTAGAAAATTAATTTTATAATAAAAATTATTTATTTGGTTTAACTAGAATAATTGTTTTAATATATATATATATAATTTAAAGTTTTCATTATTTATAATGTTTATTTTTTTAAATTGAATTTAAAAATAATATTAAATAATTTTTATTATTATTTTATAATATAATAATTTTTTTAACAAAAATATTTCTTTAATAAATTTATTAAATCTTTATATTTAAAATAAAAAATATATATATGCACTAATTCATATACTTTTGTGACCAAATTAGCTTTCGCTTTCTTTCTTTAAATAAATTATAATACATCGAAAAATATTTCACTATTATAAATTTTGAATTTTTGAATTTCCTTCCCATTTTAGCTGCATTCGACTTCTTCTCTTAAAGCAAATAAATACCGAAAATTATTTATTAAATATAATATTTCTCGTTCACAATTTAAGTTTAAGAAAAAAATATTCTAAAAAATTAATAGAAGAAATACTATATTTATTTTATGAAAAATTAAATTATTACTCAAAAAAGTACTTAATCATTTCTTATTTTAATTAAAATTATCAAAGAGGCAGTATAAATATTATTAATTAAATCAGTTTATTAAATTTTTAAATAATTTTATTTTTTTCAGTAATTAATTATCGACTTTAATAAAACTAAAAAATTATAAATAATATTAATTATTAAATTGGTAATATATAATATATATATATATATATATTATTTATATATACGTATATATATAT